TATATGGCGTTGTTCTATACTTGACTAATAGTAAGGGTTATTAATGAACGGTCGTTGTTAATAACTACCCTCGATGAATTGGATATACTCCTCGATTGAGTATTCGAGATGAGATAAGTTATAGATATAACAATGATCGACTAAAATATATCAACAAGTGGAAAGTAGCAATACCAAGTCCCTTTTTATCTTTGAATTAAATCTCATATAAGTCTTTCATCTTAGTATTTAATTAATTAAATTCCAACAATACCAAAACCCCCCTTATTTACTAGTTTTACTAAAAAGAGAATTATTCCTTTCCCTGTGGATCCGAACTCTAATACGCTATACTACGTATTAGTGCTAGTATTGAATTTATTTTGAGTGCACTCACGACAAAGTGCACGTCAGATTCCATTCTAAAATGTCAATTTATAAAAGAGGTAATTCTAAATCTTAAAAAAAAGTAATTCTAAATCTTGTACTCCATATAATATTTTAATGTTTGGTGGACGACAAATATAGTTTAATACATGATCAACGCCATCCGGAAATCACATAATTGTTTTTTGGAATTTTATCAGTTGAGGACCTAAAAGATGACTTTACTATCACTTCTGGACCCGAAAGAATAATTCTATCGATAAGGGACCTATAAGATTACAATCTATCAATCCAAGGTTTAAAAAAATAACGCCGTTAACATACCATTCACTACATATGATGTGGCACCACCTAATATCCCACTATTTACAATTCCTTCTTCCCGTACATACTCAGCCGCCCCAGTCTTCCATTCTTTTATATATGGCGTTGATCACCTAATACGTATCAACGCCATCCGGTAATCATAATAGTTAACTGGCACCACCTAATATCCCACTATTTACAATCACACTATTTGCAATTCATTCTAGCGGCGATAAGCCCTAGAGAGAACGTATTTCTATTACAATATAAAAATTGAGAAAAATAATACATAATATTAACTATAGTCTCCAATTAAAATTTTAATATATGTTTACTAACAATTTTTACTAATAGCCGATCATGTATACCAGGTCTTATCTAAACTTGGGCCTGAGTCGAGCTTTATAAAATGGGCCCTATACAATGTACTCTGTATTCGTTTATCATATAGCTTCATTAAAATATTATGATTAAATATCACAAATCGTTTTTGATAAATAGAAGTCTTACATTATAACAAAATGATATTGAATGTATTAAAAACTAATTGAGTACATTACAACTCGTCGAATAGTTTTAGATGCAAAAGTACTAATAAAGTCTGCACAATCTATGTCCTGTCATCAATAAATTACTTCTCAATTTTCTATGCAAAATACAAAGCATATAATTTGATTAATTGTCAATTAAGAATTCCATAACTTCAATAATAATAAACCTAAATAAAGAACTAACAACAATCAATTAGCATTTAAAATTTTAAAAATTAACCAATTAGACATTCACACATGACAAATCAATTATACACCATATTAACATTTAGTAAATCAATATAAAGTTAGCAAAAATTTGAAAATACAAAAAACCAAGTAAATAAGTAAGAAAGAACGGCCCGAATATGACTATGGGACTTTCATTGTACAAAAATATCACTATTTTTTAAAAGGACAAACATATGACCTCTCCCAGCCCAATAAGCCTGTTACTCTTCCTCTGCCACAAGGGCATCCGGAATTCTCCAGACCAGCGACATCCATCTTCTGCTCTTCGCTAAAGATGACGAATCCGGCGACCACAACCACACTCCGGCAACGGTGATTGAATGACTCCATCTCCCACACGGCCACACGGCCCACACCTGCGTTGACTCCGCCGCTTCATCTTCTCCCCCTTTCTTTGTTGTACGCGGTGACGAAGCTCCAGATCTGGAATTCCATTGCCTTCTACATCGATTCTCCGACAACGGATATTGTTGACGACGGTGATACATTTAAGGTGGAGTGGTGGAGGTTCGTTGGCGAGCAGGTGGTGGGGTTGGGCGAGTCTTGGGAAGGGGAGGGGGCTATGGCTGGGGGCGATGGTCTGGGCAGGGGGCGTTGCTGGGGCTAGAAGGGGCTGGGGAGTGGTGACAGGAGTTGCTGGCGGTGACCGGGAGTGGAGGTCTGGTGGCTGGTGTTTTCCGGCAGCGGCGGATAACAGTGGAGGTGTCATTTTTACTGAGGGAAATGTGTCACTGTGGCGGCGTCACTGTGCCGGCGTCATTGCAGCGGCGTCACTGTGTTGGCGGCGGCCGGGACACCAGCGCTGGCCGAACAAAGTGACATGTTATTTAAGTGACATGAAAATTGACATCTCTCAAGTGACATGAAGTTAAATTGACCTTCTTACTCACTTTTTTGTCTTTGTAAAAAATGGCCACTTTTTGGGGAATTGATTAAAATTTAGTAATATTCAAGAGTCTTGAAGAAATCAGAACGAAAATGAAGGGGTGGCTAAAAGTAAGATAAAATGCAAAAATATAAATTGTTATTAAAGTTTACAGAATATAAAATTTATGAGAATAGTACATTACATTACAATTAAATGTTAAAAGAAAGCCGAAATGATGTTTATTTTTCTCTACTACTTTCTTCGTTATCTCGTCTAGAAGGCCCAACGCCTCATGTTACATATTACTCCGTATAAGATAGACGTGATCACATGAGTAACCTAACAAGTTAAAAAGGTTTTCAATTTCAAATTCTTAAATACTCCATAGTTATAATCAATTAAAATTTGAAACAACTAAAGCAATGAAACTAATTAATCAAAAAATTGCACAATCAATTTTAACTTTATACGGTTATACTTTTTTTTTAATTTTAGCCTTTAGTCCAGTGACAGTCGTTACTTTATACGGTTATACCAATTCAAGCAATTAAACAAGAAAAAATTACATATTTATGACTAAAATAACGACTGTTTACAAAAATGTAATTAGTAACTATAGAAGTAATGAAATTATAGTAATTTATGTTCAACTTTTAAACCTGAGTTATTATGACACTACATTGTAGTAACTGAATGACCATATTTATGTAAATTATACTCCATAAGTTTTACTCTAGTAATATTTGTGTAAAAAACTCATTAATAATCAATTACACTTTAGATCAATTAAACCAATTAATCAAATGTAAACCTTAAATCAACTATAGTATTAAAATATACGGAGTAACGGAATGACTTCCTAGGCTGTCCTAGGGTTCATTCCGGCGGCGGCATCATCGACGGTCGTGACCGGCATCTATCTCCCTAGGGTTTGCGCCGCTAGGGTCGTTTTTCTGATTTCGATCTATCTTGATCGAAGATCGGTTTTGTTTTTTCTTGGTTTTGGTTTCGGTCGTGGAAGAGAGGAGAGAAAAGCTTGAAGGTTTTGGGTATGGAAACTGAAGGAAGTCGATTGCAGATGAAGATGACTGAATTCGGTAAGCAGGAGATTGAAGGACAATTTCACGCAGATAAGGAGGGCCGAGCAGTGCAAACTATGGACAAATTGGCAATTGTTGATGTTGTCGAAGGGTCGGCCGAATTGGAGGTTAGCCGCTTTGATGCAATAACAATCGGCGCAGGAGTCCGGCCTCCTCCATGGGTTGATCGGCGCGGTTTGGAGTTAGATTATTTATTTTTTCTGCATTTTAATTTCCAGGTTAAGTCGTTTGTGTGTTGTTTTATTTTATGCTGTAAGACTCTTGCATTAGGGTTGGGGAAGAGAAAGTCTGCAATTACCGTCATTGGCTTAAAGTTGCCCAATCTTGGTCTAGCGAGTTATACTGCTTTTTTACAGGTGGTTAGCTCTCAGTCTCGGCCACGGGCGGATGGTTCTTTGTGGTGCTTTTCTACTTTTATCCCCCTTCTGAATGCTATTTTTATGAATTAAGCCTTCTTCGAGCAAAACAAAAAAAATGTAAACCTTAAACCATTTATTCAATCCAATTTTAAAGTAAATAATTAATTAAACTAAAAAAGCAAATAAAGTAATTAATACGGATTACAATTTTAAAATTAATTGCCATAGTTACGGACTTATCCAAACGGCCAAACTATGCAACTGAGTTGGAGTTCCGCTTCGCTTTCTGAGTTGGACTTCGTGACGCAGGGGCAGACAGGAAGGGACTGGCGAGGGTGAGCCTGCGACGGCGATTCCGGAGTCTAACGGCTGGTCGGCGACTGGCGTGGCAAAGGAAGGCTTCTGGACTGGAACGACGAACAGGCACAACCGCACAAGGAATTACGGAAAGACGGTCAAAGCGTATGTCATAGTTATGGTCACAAGGACGTCGTTTTGTTTTTCCTGTGCACTAATCCAAATGACGTCGTTTGGCTCATTTAATTATTAAGAAAAAAACAGGCTGTCTGCCTGTCCGCTCCTTCCCCAAACTCTGGTTCGTAGCATCTCCCACGGGCGTCAGTCTCAACGAAGAAGATGAAGAGGGGCGGCAATCAGTATACCTATTACTAGTACTAAAATAATTCCGGCGAAGGGGTGGCGCCGGCACCGGCTCGCCCACCCCTGGTTCCGCCCCTGTTCAAGACATAACCCCAATAGGTAAACTACTAAAAATAACTAGAGTAAATAAAGATTCAAGAAGCCAAAAATTAATCAAATAAAGCTGAAGGAATATAAAATAAAAAACGCTTAGTGGAGTTGGTGCTTAGGAATTAGGATTCCTCATTTCCTGTGCAGGCTGTGCAGCCAAGAACAAAGGAGGGAGAAGCCAGAAGCCCAGGGGGCACGGCCAGCCGGACACTTCGACAATCAGACTTTAGTCCATTTGTGATCTGTGAGCAGAGAAGCCGGCCAGGTAGCAGTATGCCTCTTCCGCAACTCTCAATCGTCCTTTGGGGCCCTGAGTCTAGGGCCTTTCCAGCCTAGTTTGCATGAGGCACGAGCCTAACATTATGTATATTAGTATATATATTAATGATCAAAGTTGTGCACCAATATATATAAACGTGAATATAGAATTGTTGCAATCGAATAAGAAAGAATGTAATAATCAAGAATTCTGGATGTATTGATTGGAAGCTCAGAATTGAACACGTTAATTACAAACCTAACTTAGATTAGCCGGGATTCCAAAAGTATTATCTTCTGTTACAATATGTAAATTAACGAGGTGAGGTTACAAGCTTAGCCGCAAAAAGGTGACAAGAAATTGATACACAATAATACATATACAAACAGGACCAATCAAGTCATTAAGATACAAGACCTGCATATTGTATACATCCACCTAAAGGGTCACTTATATGTTCCTCTCGATCAGCAGGCCTGCCATGCATGCATGCACGTACGACGACGCATCAAGATTTACTCGTGGAGAGGTATTTGCATGAACCGTAGCCTGAAAAACAACCAATTTCAACCATTAGCTCTCTAGCTATGTTGAGACAAAGCATTGAACACTTGTTTAGAGAACATAAAAGTAGTATGAACAATGAATTCTTACTTAAAAAGAATTATTTAAACAGGACAAAGAAATTAAAAGTGAGAACAGTTGACATTTGTTTAAAGAACACAAGATCATCATGAATCTTTTGCTTAAAAAGAATAGGAAATTAGGAAGATAAATGTGTATATTTTATTTAGCCGGGGGTTTAATGCATCAAACTCTTTTGTGTTATACAAATTATACGCATTAGCCACTTGTGATTTAAAAATTACGTCAAGCTCATGTCATATAATTAACCATGCACGTACGTAACCATTTAGCAATATGAAAATCACGTATATTAGTGTTATGATGAAATATGTAATTAATTTTGTTAACTAAGATACACGTATAAAAAATACTACACTTTTCTTTTATTTGATTGTTAAATTTGTTTTACCATGATTAGTCCTTATACTAAACATGGGTCTGATTTGCCAAATTTGTTCATACGGGGTGGGCACATTAAACACTCATGTTTAGACAAAATTTCCTATAAGAGATATAGATGATTCTTGGTGGAAAAGAATTTCCCGCCTCTATCACATCAATCGACCCGAAAGTGCTTGTAAGCATTGCTCTTCCATCCCACATTGCTAGGTCACTTGATATTTAGTCTAGACTATATTGAATCAAGAGATGGTCATAATCAGATTAGTAAAACCCGACGCCTTGGCAGGGGATAGAGAGGCTAGGCGGGAATTTTTAAATGTACGTAATGAGGAGATGTCTTCATAGATTTAGCTTTGCTGGTATGTTCACATTTATTTAAGTTTGATATGATTTGTAGTTGGGTTTAAACTAATGTCGTCTTGATTAACTTGTTTGCTCAAATTTAGTTCAGACATGGCCTAAGAACAAAATAAATACAAAAGGACGAGTCATTTATGAGGAATTACTTGGATCAGTGGTGGTTAATGTGGCGCTGCTCGAGAAGTCACACTGGAAATCTTTACGGCCCTTGGTCTGATAGAAGGTGTTCATTAAGTAAGTGGCGTGAGCCCGGACAGTGTTGGGGTTGAAGCACGCGCCCCCGGGACGGATGGGACTGCAGTCCACGCCGCCTTGATTGCACACATAGTCTATGTTTGCTTGGAGCTGCGCATCAGTGGCAGTAGGTTTTGGTACACAGAATTTGCCAGATGGTCCTGGTCTTGGCTTAGGCTGCCATGGAAACAAAAACACTCTAAATATATAGCACCCAAACAATTCAAATTAGAGGAATGATATGGCAAGAGAGTCATACTTTGAAACTATTGAAACTAACACCGCATTCAGTTACCCAAAAAAGTGAGGATGCCTTCCAGATTTTTTTCCAAACATTCCCTCGGTACAATTGAGTTCATACTTTGACAAGGATTTGTTCATACCTCCCTCGTTTTATTACTTGTTCCATATTCCTTTTAAACAAGTGTTTCATTAATAGCCCCATTTTCGGTTTTGTGAACTTTTAGCTTCAAATACTTTTTTGAGGGTAAGATGCATAAATAACACTTTAACTATTGGTGTTGATGCATTTCGATAGTTTAACTTTTAGATAAAGCAAAACGGTGCCATTACTACTTTTCAATTTTTTAATAGACGGTGCCTACTTTTCAATGTTTTAATAGACGGTGCCATTCAAAATTCCCACCAAAAAGACCTACGTGTCTGCAGGAATTCCACGTATGCAGCCCAGAATTTTTTGGTCACGATCGGATGCCAAAATACATCAATAGTCAATACCAATAGTTAAGATACCGTTTATGCATTTTACTCATTTTTTGATAATGTGGTGGTGACAACTGACAAGCTAAGAGAACTGATGTTTAAATAGGAGAGATTTATTTGTTAGGAAATGTTAAACAGCCCTATAAATCACATATAGAAGTATATCCATTTATTCTATCATTTCCCTGTATAAATAATTACGTAGTATTAGATTACATAAGAGACAAGTCCCATCAAAGAGAAATAACTAGATTAGGCTTGGTACATAAGGTATTATAGACTCCTCTTCCAAGCAAGAAGGTTTCATGTTTCAAGCATATAATACTCCTTTTCCCTAAAAATATTTAGATTAATCAAACATGACTAGAACTCCGTAGTAATCGAACTAAAACTCAACATGACGACTTTTAACTTCCAATACTCCCTCCGTCCCAAAAACAACTTCTCAGTCACTATTCATTGGTCAACTTGAATCACTCGTAATCTTTTACTTTTTATATCAATTTTTTATCAAATTTAAATTTTATTGATCAGGCTTTGTAGCGGTTTTAATGTAGTTTCTGAATATGTAAATTTTATTTACTAAAAATAATCCGAGTGTGAGCAGGGATCGAGTTGCTTTATCGTCAGTCAAGCATCGTAAACCGAACGGGAAGTTAATTTTGGGACGGAGGTAGTATTAATTTGCTCCAACGAGACACCATTTTTTACGGAAGCATGTTAAGCTATCCCAAGTTCCCAACCAACCACATATAAACTATGAACTACTATTGTTATAAGGCTGGCCTATTAATCTATCAAGATGGAACCACAAACCTTAATAACATGATATAATATAAATCATGCATGTCCGAAAAAAATCATTTTTCATGCCTCAAGATAAGCTACAATATTTTAAATTCAGTAAGGTGTAAATATTGTAAACTTTCAGCTTAAATTATATTTTAAGATGAAGTTATTCTAAATTTGGGCTAAAATTTTGTTAGATAACAGGTCTTACCTTAAGTCTTGAAACAAGACCTTTTTAGGGAATGATATACACCATATAGCTTAGTGAGCAACTGAGCAGTTGGCATGCTCACTAAATTTAAACAATATATACTCTATTTTTAACATGTTTCTCTGTTCAACTTTTGAGAAAGTCGATTCATAATTGCTCCGATTTTTACAATTTGAAAGTCTATTAATGAATGTTCTACTTAAAATTTGGCAGATATCGTTATGTAAAAAACTATCGCTCAAATAAAAGTTGTTTACAAAAATATGACTAAAATTGAACATAAAAGTCATAAAAAATTAATCTTATAGTCATTACACTTAAAGGTCACATTTTGGTGCACCATTTCTATTTTATTTATAAGTATGTCATTATTTAAAAAAAGAATACACCTAATACTACGAGCCCGTTTGGTAGCACGAAAATCAGCTGTTTTGGCTGATTCTGCTGAAATTTATGAAGTTCTGGCTGAAGTGGCTGCATTGACTGATTCTGCTGATTTAAGAAAAAATTATTTTTAAAATATATTTTACTAATAAAACAAAGAAAAAATTATATGTAAAAATAACTAAAATGGTCATCTACAGTAACTTCAGCCAATGCAGCCAGAAATGTAACTTCAACCTTACCTTTTCTGCTTATTACACAATTCAGCGCGCGAAAGCAAAAGTTACGTGTTTGGTGAAAAAGTTGGCTAATAAGCCTGATAAGCCGAAAAACAGTGTTGCCAAACAGCCTCTACATATTTTATTACTCCGTATTATTTTTGCACATTTTTATCTAGTGTGAAAAAAATACCGAGGCAGAGATTTTTATATAATATTCCGTAAGAAGTAAGGAGTAGTACTACATTGAAAAACAGAGTGTGGTTTTTACACTCTGTTTACAATCTTCGTATTTAAAAGATCTCTACACTAGGGGTTGACAAAATATTTAAAGGGGAATAGTAGGGATAATGAATAGTGTAGAAAAAGTAGGAGAGAAGATGGAAAAGTAGGAAAACAAAGATAATAGTTAGAAAAAGTAAGGGTAATTGAGTATTTTTAAAGAAAAAACTTACTAAAAAAGGAAATGGTAGTAAACTTTTAAACACATCCCAAAAAAAAGAAAGTGTAGGGAATTTTTAAATATCTAGTGTTGTTTTACTGAGGGAGATGCTTATATATTTTGTAATACATCTATATCCAAGTAGAGTGTTGTTTGTAATACTGAAATCAGTATTTTAAACAAAACTCTTTTTAAATCAGATGTAACAATAATGTAAGCACCATTGCCTCATATCGTAAATGAAATATGCAAAATTATAAATAGTCATTCAAATTTCAAATCAGTATTTTAAACAAGACTACTTTATGATGAATAAAAAGGGTATCACCAACAACTAAACACGAACCCCTAAATTTAATAGGAGCAGACCTAAAATTGTGTTTACAACCAATTTTTTTCCATAAATAACAGCTATATATAATTGTACATAATGGTAACTATATGTTTCTCTTTTGAACGCACAAATGTCATGATTGACTAAGGCAATATTTTTATTTTTGACAATGTACAATTGTTTTAGAACATAAAAAAGACTTATATTTCAGAAAATTTACAAATTATATTGATAAGAATAATTGGTTTTTTTGCACCCATTATTCTAGGAAAAATTCCTGAAATAGAGAACATTTTGCAATATCAAAATAAGACTGTCATATTTTTTATTGCATAAATAAGAGTATATTTGAAAAGGCATGATATAATTTATCCCGAAAGCATGTCACTGCGTCTTTTTTTTTTATAATTTTGCTATCAAATTCGAAATATATACATAGTATTTATTTCTATAATTGAAACCTCGAAGTGTCATATTCACAAATTTGTATGATCTGAACATAAATGCATTCCAATTGCATCTATAAATAAAGCTACTTAATAGTAGTCTGGAGTACAAATATGATTTTACTTAGAACTGGAAATTTCTGATTTGATATTGTGTAATTTGATTGTTGAAGTTCGTTTTTGTAAGATTGTTTTGTATAGAGTATATTTTACTATTGAGTATCTAAATATGATTCTCATTTAGTTTGATTTACGATTGAAATCTGCCTAATTAAAATATCTTTGAAGTATCATCCAAAGTTGAATTGTTAGTTCTAAAGAAGTATTCCCACTTCCCAACAAAAATAATATTCCATCCGGTTTTTAATAAACTTCACACTTTCCTTTTTGGGACGGTCTAAAATAAACTTCACACTTCCTTATTTCCTTTTTTAGAAAAGAAATCTACATCAAAACAGTGTCAAACAGTGTCTCAACAATACCAAACAGTGTCAAACAGTGTCTCAACAGTGTACTCTAAGTCAAATTTCTTTCCTTATTTTGTGTGAAGATTAAAAAAAACGTTAGTACTTCCATTAGTTAAATAAGATTGATATGACTGGTGGCTGTGTCGTTTTCCATCACGAGATTCACAAAATCACTTTGAATTTACCTTCACGTTCTCTTTTGTATATTCTTTTCTGTTTTCATTTTGAAAGTAAAATTGAGATTATTTATTGAATACCAATATCACGTAAACTTCTCTAACTAAATTTGAGATACTTAAATACACCGGACCAAATTAATTCAACCCAAACTTAAATGCATCAAATCATACCAGAGAATATAAATACAAGTAAAAACATGCAAAGAGCCTAACATTTTGGAAAAATATATTCCTCCATCATATAAAATTACTCTCTGATTTGGATCAAAATCTAAAAAAACGAGAATAAAATGAAAATTTATTATTATCGGTAAATAAGAAAAATATAAATAAATAATGATCATACAAAACTTTCTAAAAATGGAAGACCGAAATTTAAGCAATATTACCTGTGGATTAGGACGTGGGTGGGGTTGAGGCAAAGACGGAACCTTTTCCCCCTTCATAATCCCAATGTCATAAACCGAGCTGAAATCCGGCCGGAAAAGCCCGAAGTTCCTCTCCGCCGTTGACCCGGGTTTCTGGTTCTCATTAAACAGAGCAAATATATAAATCTCCGTTCTCGTCCGCGGCATCAACGGCGTCCCCGCTCCGGCCAAGTACTTCCTCATCAGCCCGCCGTTATACGACTGCGCGTTCTCCACCGTACACTTCGGCTCGTACGTTTCTCCGGCGGACGCCCACCCCGTCTCCGCCGCCACAATCTCCACGTCCGGGTACCCCAGCCGCTTCATCGCCATGTAAACAGAGTCCAGAAGCATGTCGAACATATTTCCGTAAGTCCTCTTCGAGTACCGGTCGACGTAGCCTTTGTTTGGCCGGAAGAGAGCGAGATCCGTTTTGTCCGGGCTGTACCCGAAATACGGGTATGGGTTTACCATAAAAGGACCCTTCGTTTCCCGGAGGAACTGAAGCATCGGCGCGAGGATCCCGACGTCCCATCCGGGCCTGAACCGGCCCATACTTGGCGGGTCGGATCTCAACATAATCCCCAGCGAATGAGGGCTTGAAACCTGTAAAATACGAGTAATAAAATATAACTACAATAAGTATAAAAAATTATTTAAAAAATGTTTGAGAACATTTAAGGGAACTTAAGGCTAAAAATGTTTTTATATTTCAATTAATTATTGATATGTTTCGGTAGTATCAAACTTCAAACATTAAGATATTTTTCAAACTTCAAAATAATTATTCGACAGTCTTATTGTGATATTGTCAAAATTTCCCAACATTTAACTGATCTAAATTCTAAATTTTAGTGCAGAATTAAGCTTTAGATATTTAGAGAGAGAGTAAAAACTATAAAGCATAAAAAGGTGACAATGTTATTTAAAAAGAAGGTGACATTGTTAGAATTTAGACAACCAATCCCCATCAAATGACATTTTTTATTTTTTTGTATATAAAGAATGCATTAAATGGGCTTTTAGTATATACTAATAATAATGCTTATGATTCAAATTAAATTACCTTAATATAATTGATCCCGGAGTCTTTCAGAGCATCGTACAAACTTCTCATGGCCCGGACAAGGCCGTTCTGCATCTCCGGCGTGCCCCAGTGGAGGACCTCATTCCCGACGGCGATGATGTTGATCTTCGTCGCCGGGTAAAAAGGTTTGATTTTGTCGGCGACCCATTGCCGGGCGTAGCCCGGATCCGCCAGAGGGAGAATCTCGCCGTTGGGGACGGTGACGGTTACGAGGATCCCGGTGTTGGCGAAAGCCCGGAGAATGTCCGGGTTGACGTCAAAGATTTTGATCCGGTCGATGATGGTCCTGTCCTTGATGAATCTGGCGACCTCCGCCGGCGACGGGAGGTTGTCGCCCAATGTTCCATAGTTAACGCCTATGGAACGGACGCCGCCGGGGAGGAGGAAAACAGGGAGGAGTGCGAGAAACAGAGATTGTCGGGAAGACATCTCCATTTTATGAAGTTTGGATTTGGAACGTTTGGTTCAATTATGGAGGTGACGGTGGCATCTATATACGGATAGAGAGAGGGATGGGAGTCAAAATTTGAGGTCTGAGGTTTCTGTTTTTAAGAATGGTGATGTCTTTTTGTGGTTTTGTTTTTTTATTTCCTTTTTCAAAGTTTGGGGGCAGAGACGACAGATGTTAGCTGGAAAGTAACCTGCGGGGCATTGTTATCGCCTCTGGTTACACGCTTTTCCTTTGAACCACACAAAACATTTCCTTGCGATATTGGATTCAGATTGTAACGCCTACACGGTTTTGTAGATTCTGGTAAGTGCGGGCGTCTTTTAACGGTCGGATTCGGGTCCCTCACCAAAACCGTGTCCGGTTATGAGTAAATTATACCAGATATAGGTTGGTGCAACTGCTTCTAAAAATGCATTTCTTAGCTTTTGGTTTTAAAAAAACACTTCTTTTCCCAAACACTACAACTTTTAATTTTCTCGGCTTCCTTGTCAAAAGTGTTTTTACTTTTTCTATTACACAAAAAGCACTTATTTTACCAAACACTACTCACTTTTACTTTTCAAAATCACTTTTTTCTCAAACACTATCAACTTTTATTTAATCACTTCTCCCCATTTCATTTAAAAAGCACTTTTTTAAAAGCAGAAGCTGTTGCAAACAGACCCATAGTATACGGTATAGTTTTTCACCAGTCGGATTCGGGTCCCTCACCAAAACCGTGTCCGGGTGAGCACCATGCTTCACCCCCAAAACGATATAGTTTCGATCAAATTTAAAAAAAAAATCACGTGAATAGTGTCTTTGAACAGTACCCATGTGTACAGTATTTTTTTTTAATTTTCATCCCAGTAGCATGAATGATGTAAATTGTGCATAATTAGATGTAACTCGTGTTGCTACAAATGTAACTACAATTAACAACATATGTAACTACTGCCCTAAATGTAACTCATGTTTAATGAAAAAAGGAGTTTAATTGTCCAATTATTTTACATAAATAGTGCATATGTTTTGTTTTTAATATCAGGTCCATTAAAAATGACTTTTAATAATAAAATCAATTTTGATTGAAAAACAGAGATTTGTTTTGTTGTGTAACTTGCATAGTTTTGTGATGTAACTCGCGTATATTAAGATGTAACTCGCGTACATTAAAATGTAAATCACATGTAAACAAGATGTAACTTATTGAGGAAAATTGAAATGTAAATCGTGGGTTACAAAATGTAATTTTAGTCTAACCGAAATGTAATTCCACTTTACAGAGATGTAAACGTTTTTACAGATATGTAACTCCATATATATATATATATATATATATAGAGTCCTGATCCTGTCCAGACGTCCGGACAGGAACCGCCGTCCGGCCGGCGGCGTTTGGCCGCCTTCCCGGTGGAATTTTTTGATGAAATTTTTATGGAATGTTCTCCATCAAGTCTAGTTTATCCACAAAAAAATTCAGCCAAAAAATCAATCGGGAAGGTCGTCAAATGATTTTTGCAAGTTAACTGGTCCGGAAAATACATATTCCAGACCAGTTAACTTGCAAAAATCATTTGACGACCTTCCCGATTGAGTTTTTGGCTGAATTTTTTTGTGGATAAACTAGACTTGATGGAGAACATTCCATAAAAATTTCATCAAAAAATTCCACCGGGAAGGCGGCCAAACGCCGCCGGCCGGACGGCGGTTCCTGTCCGGACGTCTGGACAGGATCATTTGTGTATATATATATATATATATATATAAGGAACTTTTCTGGTAAGGTATACCTTACCAGAACCGCCGTGCGGCCTCCACGTTTTGAGGGCCTTCCCGGTGGAATTTTTCGATGAAATGTTTTGAGCATGTTCTTCATCAAGTCTAGTACATTCATACCAAATTTCAGCAACAAATTCAATCGGGAAGGCAGTCAAACGATTTTTGGAAGATAACTGCACCCTTTATATACGTATAAAACGCAGTTATCTTCCAAAAATCGTTTGACTGCCTTCCCGATTGAATTGTTTGCTGAAATTTGGTATGGATGTACTAGACTTGATGAAGAACATGCTCAAACAATTTCATCGAAAAATTCCACCGGGAAGGCCCTCAAAACGTGGAGGCCGCACGGCAGCTTCGGTAAGGTAATACCTTACCGGAAGATTTTCCTATATATATATATATATAAGGGGAGCGGTTCCGGTAAGAACAGATCTTAGGAGAAAAATGAGAACGAATCTGGACCGTTGGATTCTATTATGTGGAACCAAATTGTGCATTTGGTGAAACTGAAATGTGCATTAATTGATATTGAAATGTGCAAAATAAAAATTTAAACTCAAGTGTGCATTAGATGAAATTGATATGTGCGAAAAAAGTACAAAAATAACATCATATCGTACTTTTTATTCTGCACATTTCAGCTTCACCTAGTGCACATTTCAATTTTATGTAATGCACAATTCAACTGCACATAATGCCACTCTATCGTACTCTTTGTGATGCACATTTCAATTTCACCTAATGCACATTACAGTTTCATCTAATGCACACTGAATTTCACTTGAAGCAAATCTAACGGTCCAGATTCGTTCTCATTTCTCTCATAAGATCGTGTTCTTATTTGAACCAAAACCTATATATAAGTACCCCATATATAAAAGTTGCTGCTTTGCTAATCTTTAAATACTCTGTATTTTTGAATTTCGTGAGCCGTCAACTATGTCGGCTAAAGACCAAAGCTCTAGAGATTCTATAGATGAGGTTTCGATTTCATGGGCAAAGAATTGAAGGTCCCCAGCGACGGCACTAAAGACGGTCCCCAGCGACGGCAAACACGATTGAAGCTCGTTCTCTTATTTCTTTCAGCGAGTGTAACTATTCGACAGCAAAACTATGTCGTTTTATGACCGGGCACACCATCCTCATGGTGTGCCAGTCGTATGGTATAATTTGTGGAATTATACCGTAGAACTGTATATTACTCCCTCCGTCCCCCTAAGTTTGGGACGGAGGGGTGTGGTGTGGTTTTTAAGAAAAAGTGGAATTGTGTGGTTGATATTGAATTGATAAAGTGTAAATAAAGTAAGAATGAATTCTAACCACTCAAATGTTACCAAATATGGTATGAGACAAACTTAGTGGGACGGACCAAAAAGGTAAAACGGGACAAACTTAAGGGGACGGAGGGAGTAATAGTTAATATAAAATAGGAATTCTTGTATCTTTTGGAAACTCTTATTCAGTATAAATATACCTGCGAGGACTCCTATTGGAGTACCTCTTTCCCATTATTTCACATGGTATCAAGTAGGGGTGGGCAAACGGGTCTTGGAACCGCGGTCCGGTCCGGGTAATGGCGGTTCGGGTCCAAAACGGGCCGGTTCCATTTTTTGTTGCCATAAAACGGTCCGGGTAGGGTCGGGTAATTTTTTTTAAGGAACTGGACCGGTTCCAAAATTAAAAAATAACGGGTACCCGGCCCGGCCCGTTATATCTATTGTATATTAATTTATTAGTAGTTTTGTGATAATCGGTTTTGAAATAGTTTTGTTTCCTTTGCTAGAAGTAGGATTTTAAATTGAGTTGCAGTAACATCCTTTTGTTTTCAAATTATTGATTAAATGTTTCATAAATATCTTATTACTTTTTATTGTTATTGAATTATTCCTTTCTATGGAATTTAATTATTTGTTAAAGATGATTTTGTTATATATTTTTTATTATATTGTTATTAAAATATATAAATTGTGTTTACCACCCACCATGTATGTGTCAACTTTGGCTAGTACTGAAAATTTAATATAAAAAAGCAATCACTTTAATATGTGATGTTAGACAACATGTTTAAATACAAATGTTAGAAAATATGTATTTTGGCTATGTTGCATATTTTTGAAATATCTTTAATTGTTTGAAACTTATACTACCTCCGTTCTCTTTTAATTGCAACATTGAACTTTTTGCACTATTCACATATTATACTTTGACTATATTTTATTAATTAATGCATTATAAATTAAATTTTTAAAAAATATTGTTAAATTCTTCTCATTCTATATTTTCAAAATATGATTTTTTTAATTTTTTTACTAATAAGGAATGAAAGATATTAATGGTCTAACTTGTGCGTTGGCAAACGTGAAATGTTGACTGTTGCAATTAAAAAAGGAACGGAGGAAGTATACAATAAATTATGAAGTATTGGACTTTTCGCTTGTGTTGTATGTGCACCACTATGTTGTTATTTTGAAACTTGCTAATGTCCTATATTATTGATTATTGATTTTTGGAACTTCGTGAGTTTTTACTAATTTCAAGACATGAGAATAAAAACCGTAAAACCCGGACCGAACCGACCCGTTTCAAACGGGCCGGGTAATTTCCGGTTCCTATTTTGAAAATTGTAATACCCGAACCGGACCGAACCGTACAATGGAACCGGCGGTTCCATTTTATTTTGCATTACCCGCCCCGACCCGGCCCGTGCCCAGCCCTAGTATCAAGAGCCCAGACCTAATTTTTTTTTCACGCTTACCGCTCAGCCGACATGACTTCTTCTTCCTCATCGGCAAACTTTACCACCGAAGCCTTGGCTTCATCGGCCATGACCTCGACTGCCGCTGCTGCTTCTCAAGCGCCGGCTTCATCCCCCATCTCGGCTGGAATCACGGATCACCCAGGGCTTTCAACCCCCCCTGTCTACGCCCTTCACATCGAGCGCATCCAGGACACCGGTTATGACGCCGACATCGTCAACACTCTTTACCAACTTTCCTCCTCCACCGAACTTCTCTATGCCTGAAACCAATTCTCTGTTTCAGTCCTTCCCTTGGCAACAACCCTCGGTCACGCAGCAGCAAGCACCCGTTTTTATTCAGCCTCCCCTGACCACCACCAGACCGCAACATGCCGCCCCCTCTTTCTTCGGCTCCACTTTTTCCGGCTCCCCTGGGGTTATTCGGCCAGCAGAACAACCTGGGTTTGGTTCCCCGATGTCGGCCCTTGCTCAGTCCATCTCACATATTACTACTATCTCTCAAATTGTCACCATCAAATTGAAGGCAGTCGAGGATTATCTCACCTGGCGTACTCAATTTGAATCCTTTCTAATTTCTCA